TGATGCTAGAAATTTTAGGTAAACAAAATGTTTAAGTAACAATATATGTATTTTTTGGGTAACAATAAAAAAACAGATTCTAAGATTTGGAGTTGTAAAATCAGTTCCTACTTACTTCTAAATTGTATTCCCAGGGCTGGAGCCATAGTATAGCGGGTAGGGCTCTTGCCTTGCATGCAGTTGACAAGGGGTCCGATCCCTGACACCCCATGTGGTTCCTCAAGCATGCCAGGCGTGATCCCTGAGCTCAGAGACAGGAGTAAGCCCTGAGCAGTGCTGCATGTGACGCATGCGGTTTGGGCTTCCTCTTCCCCTTTCTCCTTTTCCTTCTTCTCTGTCTTCTGGCCTAACCCCCTCCCTCTCTCCTTTTGTCCCTGCCTCCCGAGAGCCCAGTGGCATTTGTCCACCTGAGAGTAGGGTTGGCATTTATAGAAGTTTTGTCGTAAAGATTCTTGGGTGTATGTTGTGACTAGTGTGACTAAGGTCCCAAATGTTGATCAAAAGCTTTCGTCATCTCAGATAAGAAGTGGTTCCCAGGTGGGGTAGAAAGATAGTACAGCAGGAACGTGCTTGCATTGCGTGAGACTGACCTGGATTCAATCCCTGGCGTCCCCTATGATCCTCAAGCCCTGTCAGGAGTGATCCCTCAAGTGCAGAGCTGGAGAAAACCCTGAGCACAGCTGGGTGTGGCCCAGAAGCAAACAGAAGGGGGAAAATTGTGCCCGTATTTCTGCACTCAGTGGAAAATGAACTGAATCTCTGAAGGGTGGAGTGTGTTTTATTCTCTGCCAAGTGCAGTTAGGAGCCAGTCATTTGGAGTGGCCGGCATTTGACCATTTCTGATCATGGAATTGTGCTTAAGCAGATTACCAAAGAAGAGAATTTCTTCTCTGAGGAGCTTTGTTCATTTTTTCCAGCTTGGAAACTTGGTTACATTCTAATTATAGATTGTGGCTTGGCGTGATGTAAGCTGAAACCAGTTCTATAGGACTATTGCTCTATTTCCCCCCCTTGGACATGAGCAATAGGAACAGGTGAAGAGCAAAATTGGAATGACCTGAGTCAGGCCTGCAGTTTTTAATGTCCTTTGTCCTAAGCTTTATTTAGATGTTCCACCGAGTTGTCTACTTTATTTGTCTGGAGGAAAATAGAAAAAGCTTGGTGTGCATTTTTAATACACTTCACCTCATGAATTATTAGTGAGGAAGTCTAGGAAGGCCTGAGTAGAAGACTTTGGGCCTCTTTTCTGCCAACTGAATATCCAGTAGTTGCTTATGTAAAGAAGTTTCCTGAAACTTTTAATTTTCTAGTTGAGTTCATTTTGATCTTGGCTTTTTTTTTTATCTCAGAAATGCTTGGGTGTATTATAGTTAATACCAACAGCTACATAAAAGAATGCATATTTATTTATTTATTTATTTAATTTTTAATAGACATCATGAGGTACAGTTGCAGTCTTACACATTTTTGTGCTTGGGTTTCAATTATACAGTGATCAAATACCCATCCCTCCACCAGTGCCCATTTCCCACCACCATGGATCCCAGCATCCCTCCCACCCCCCATCCCCCCATCCCCTCATCCCACCCTGCCGCTGTGGCAGGGCATTCCCTTTTGTTCTCTCTCTTTTATTGGGTGTTGTGGTTTGCAAAAGAGGCAATGGGTGACAATCATGTTTGGTCTATAGTCTACTTTTAGCATAAGAATGCATATTTTATGAGGCATCTTGTATTTGTTTGGGATCACACACATGTGACTGTGCTCAGGGGACCATAAGGTGATCAAACCCAGGTCAGCTGTGTGCAAGGCAAGTGCTTTACCTGTTGTATTATCACTCCAGCCCCTGTTTGAAACATCTTTTCCTAACTTCATCTTACCATTTTTAATTATCAGCTTTCATTATTCAAATAGTACATGCTCATTAAAAAATATGAAAATAGAAGTAAGCAAATGGAAAAAAACTATCCCTGATATCACTACACATTTTAACGATCGTAGTTTTGGCACGTTTTCTCTAGGTCTTTTGGTGTTAGGAATGAGATTTATCAATTGGAGAGTTTCTGGGACTTTCCACTGGGTTTTCTAATAGCCTGTTAAAGAGGATTTTGTTTAACCCTGTTCAGTTCTTCCCTTCTCCAGGCTCAATAAGAAAATTTTTATCTTTCTCGGACAGTTCTGGAATTAATTAGTTTATCATTCAGATAAAAGTTATGAAACAAATTAAAGAACATAGAAACTAAGTAGACCCAAGTACTAAAGGATTCAAAGAGAAGATTAGATAAAATAGCTTTGTGTGGGGGATACTGGGAAATCTTGGGAGAGTGGATGGTACCGCCTGGCTGCAAGAGGATCTGGAGAATGGCCAGGGAACCAGGATTTGATTGGGAGCAGAAACAGCTCTGCTGGGTGTTGGAACTGAAATTGCATTAATGTTGTTGGAGAGATGCTGAAAGTAAGGATGGACTATTGGAGATGGCATATGCCAAGCCTGGGCTGTGGGACTGGAGAGCAGTTGCACGCGTATTTTTATATGTTTGTTTCATAATAGTGGTTACAAAAGACTCCACTTCTGAGCTGTATAACATATAGATCTCCCAGCAGAGGGAATGTATTACAGTTGTCTTTACCTAATCAGTATATTATTGTCTCCTGTACTATTAAATATATTTTAGCTTGAAAAAAATGCCTGTAAGTATCAGTCTAGTCTAACTAAATTGTTGACAACATTGGTGTTCTGAGGTTTTTAATTATACTTCTCATGGGTCTATGCTTACAATTCAGTTTTTGCACTTTTATTTATTTCATTAAACTCTGTTCAGGAGAGGATTTAATTATCTTGAAGAGCATAAGTATTTGCAAAAAAATTGAATAAATTTAACAATTTCCTGTTGTAAGGCTTAATATTAAACTATGTACTACTCTGCTACTCTAACCACTCAGGGTCTCGCATTACATGCCTTTTGATAGAAAATGTCAACCTTTACAGGTAGTTTGATATTAATTACTTGCCTAGTTGAACCAGTTAAGTTATGCAACATTGTCACTCCTATTTAAACTTTCTTTTTAAAAAAGCTTTTATGTCTTAAAAGGCAGAATTAAGGTTAGAATTTAAAAGGATTACAAAAAATCATAGTTATTCTAAATGTGAACCTATATGAATATAAGTCCTTAATATGCTCTCTTTCAGAGAAGGAGGCTCTTGGCATCACTTGCTATTATCCAAACTTACCTGTCCCTCATTTACAAATAAGTTATGTTGATATTCAGAGCATGATGAAAACTCATTGTCATCTTTATCCTTCTCAAGTAAAATGCTCTTTAATCTGACCACAAATGTCACATTAAGAGTTTTGTATGCACAGCAGATTGAGGGAGGGGAGGCTATAATCATTCTCACTTACAACCTACTCTAAGTTCCTCTTTGGAATGAGTTTCTCCCTCTATTAGTGATCTCCCTCTATTAGTGACCTTTGGCTCATGTGACTGTAAATCTGAATTCTGTGTGCTTAGAAATTTTAGCCAATAACCCATTTCCTAATGATACTTTGGATCCTTTGAAAGAATCATAAAGGACTTTCTGTGCCAGGAGTCATAAACTCAAGTGCCTTCATAAGAGGGGCAGTTACGTAAGAGAGTGTTGCAGGCCAGCTATTATAAAAACAACAATTAATGCCAGGTCCCCGAGAGTTTAAAAAAAAAAATCCTTAGAGCTAATAAAATACATTTTTTTTTTGCTTTTGTTTTGGGGGCCTATACCAGAGGTGCTTTGGGCTTACTCCTAGGACTGTGCTCAGAGGTCACTCCTGATGGGGCACAGGGACTATATGTGGTGCCAGGGATTGAACCCATGTCAGCTGCGTGCAAAGCAAATGCCCACCTGCTGTCTCTCTCCAGTCCCAGAATGAAATCTAATGTAAGTAGAACCCAGGACTTTTGGAAGAGCACAGTCCTTAAAAAAAGGACTGGAAGATTTGTAAGATCGGCGTTTGTCATTGTGGGTCTCTAGTGAATTTGGTGGGTTAGTTTGGTGGCAATCACACTGCAAAGGTGTGAATCAGCTCCACCATTTTCTTTTTTTTTTTTTAATTCACCATTTTCTAACCTGTATGTCTAGAATTCTTCATTTGAAAAATAAAATTATAGTATTTCCTTCATCAGGTTATAAGAATTACATTTGGAGAAAATGTTTACTTAGTACTCAATCCCGGTTTCTCCTGTTACCCAGGAAACCTTTCCTGAGCTGAAAAGGTGAAAGGTGAAGAAGTAATTACTAACCACTTAGTTTTTGTGCTCTCAAATGCCCCAAATTATCTACATATCAAACAAACAAAAAACTACCAAACAGCACAGAAAGCCTGAGATCACATTGATATATAGTAGATGCAGGAATACAAGGTGTATACAACCAGTATAAAAGAGTTTTAGAGAAGGGGGTAGCAGGGTTGCTCTTGAGGATCAGAATTCAAGGTGCTGCAAAATCAAAGTTTACCACTAGTTCTGCCTTGCAAGTTTTGCTATAAAAGTGACAATCTGGGGCCAGAGCGATAGTACAGTGTGGAGGGTGCTTGCCTTGCACATAGCTGACTGTAGTTTGATCCCCGGCACTCCATATGGTCCCAAGTCCACCAGGCGTGATCCCTGAGAGCCAGGAGTAAGACCTGAACACAGCTGGGTGTGGCTTAAAAACAAAATCGAACAAATGGAGAAGTAAAAATTCTCTTCAGGTTTGTGTATGTGTAGCCGTGTCTGAGGAATCAAACCCAAGACCTCATGCAACCAAGTGCCACAGAACTACATCCCCACCCCAGATTTCTTAGGTCAGTGAGAACAGGTACGAAAATAGATCTTTGATAAAAAAACAAAGTGGCTTAAGACGAAATTTTTGAACGGCGGGGCGTACCTGGGTTTCATTCTACTCCCCGCCTCCATGCTCATCTTACTCCCCCACTACTGCTTGCTACTGTGACTGATGACCTCGTGTCTCTCTTTTCATCTTCCAGGTTCCTGAGTCCCTTCAATATGATCCTTGGAGGAATTGTGGTGGTGTTGGTGTTCACAGGGTTTGTGTGGGCATCCCATAATAAGGATATTCTCCGTCGGATGAAGAAGCAGTATCCCACGGCGTTTGTCATGGTGGTCATGCTGGCTAGCTATTTCCTCATATCCATGTTTGGAGGAGTCATGGTCTTTGTGTTTGGTATCACTTTTCCTTTGTTGTGTAAGTGAGCTTGAGTCTTTTTGCTGTCTTATATCATGAAGCATGTCAGAGCAATTGTTTAATGGGAATTACAGAACCAGTTTCTTCTCTGCATTGGCATGTATTGATTATAGAGATATCAGACCACTTGAAGCTTGAAATTAGGAAGAGACAAATTTTCATTCTCATGATCAGAGATCTAACTAAAATTGTAGTGTAGAAGCCAAAGAGATTGTACAGGGGTGAAACCATTTATCTTGGGGTCTGAGCAATAGTCCAGCAGGCAAGGAGCTTTCCTTGCACACTCCTGACCTTGGTTTGGTCCGTGACATGGTCCCCTGAGCCCCACCAAGAATAATTTCTGAATACAAGCCAGAAGTAAGACCTACATACTTCTGGGTGTGGATCACAATCAGGACCAGAAAACAAAGCAGGTAACTGCTTACCTTGCATGTGGCTGATCCTGGTTTCATTTCTAGCACTCATATGTGCCCTGAGCATTGTCAGGTACAGCCCTAAAGACACCCTAGTACTGCTTCGATGGCCTAGGTCATCCCGAACATCAGGAGGCCCAGCCAGGATCATATCTTCTGATCCTCGCATTGAATCACCAGCCCACTTGGCCAATAATCTCCACGAGGTCTACCTGGACCCTGGGCCTCCGGAGACCTCCCCACTTTTACCCCCACCCCCCCAAAGAAGCAACCTAAAACCCAGCAAAGTAAAATTCTACTTTATTAAGTGATTAGAACATGCCTTTAACTTAAAAAAATATTTTGTATGTATATTTATTCCACTAGGGAAAATAAATTGCTTATTTTCTATTTTGTTAGATTAGCACTGTAGCACTGTCCTCCTGTCGTTCATCGATTTGCTTGAGCGGGCCCAGTAATGTCTCCTTTGTGAGACTTTGTTGTTAAATGTGTTTGGCATATCGAATATGTCACAGGTAGCTTGCCAGGCTTTGCCGTGTGGGCGAAATACTTTTGGTAGCTTGCCGGGCTCTCTGAAAGGGGCGGAGGAATTGAACCCAGGTCGGCTGAGTGGGCTGCGTGCAAGGCAAACGCCCTACCCACTGTGCTATCGCTTCAGCTTAATTTGTTAGATTAAGCCCAGATTATTTGTGAATCGATCTTACGCTTTAGGGGGGGTGCGCAGATTGATAGTACAGTGGGTAAGGTGCTCTCTTTGTGCGTGTCTCACCTGGATAGATCTTTGGCATCATTTATGGTCCCTTGTGCCCCACCAGGAGGGATTTCTGAGCATAGAGCCAGGAGTCCTGAGCATTGCCAATGTGGACCCAAAACAAAAATAAAAAATCTTACACCTTATTGGATAAAATATTTGAATCAGCAACTCTGACTTTTGAAAATATTCTTCAGTTTTTAGATAGCTCCTTGAGTGTTTCAAATGGCCAGTCAAGCCTCTGGGAGCTGCCATGGGGCCTGTACATGAGTTTCTTAGAGTGAGGGTCTAAGTCAACCTATGTCAGAATCCTCTGATAATGTTTAGATTCTGGGACCCTAACTCAGACCATACAGTCTTTGGGTGGTGGATGCAGAGGATTTACTTTTTCAGTATGGTTTCCAGGTGATTTGTGCATGGAAGTTTGAAAATTGCTTGTATAGATCACCTGGGATTTATGTTTATTTTGCAGTGCTGGGGATTGAACTAAGAGTCTCACCCATGTAAGGCAAATGCTCTACTATTGAGCCATATTCCCAGATCCCACAGTTTCTGTTTAAAACTCTGTGGGGCTGGTGATGTAGTTCAGTGGTAGAGCATCTGCCTTGCTTGTGTGAAGCCTGGACTTGATTCCCAGCACTATGAAAACAATGAAATGCTGATTCTCAGGACCATCCCTTTGAGATTCTGAATTAGGAGGCTTGCGAGACAGACCAAGGAATCTTCCTCGCTCACCCTCTCTCTCCTTCTCGCTGTCTCTCTCTCTCTCTCTCTCTCTCTCTCTCTCTCTCTGTCTCTCTCTCTTTGTCTCGTGCATGCTTTATATGTTTTGGTTTTGAGTCATATTTGCCATTTCTTCGGGTGTACTCCTAGAAAGTAATCACTTTCAAAGTGATTACAAAGCAATCACTCCTGGCAGGGCTTGTGGGACCATATGAGTTGCAAGGGATTGAACCAAGGTTGACTGCATTCAACTCAAGTGCCTTACCACCTCTGCAGTCTTTTTCCCCTTTTATAGATCTATACCTGTCAAAGATCAGTTCACATGGCTGATGTTCTTTCTTGGTATCAGGATACACTTAGTGGTGTTTGGGAAACAATTCTGTGCTGGGTCTTAAATTTAGGGTTTAATACCACTTGAGCTATTTCTCAAATTCCCAGGAGTTTGTTTTTATTAGACAAACTCAGGTTAATTTTAATGAATGGTCAAGCAAACTTGGGGAACAATAGACTAATAAAATGTCTATAAATGCTTGGATTTTTATCCTCATATCCATATCTAACCACATGTCTGTGAGGGCAATTCTTAGGGAACTTCTTCTGTAGGCTTCCTACAGGGAACAAATTACAGATAATCCTTGAATTGAACAATAGTTTCTTTTTGGAAGATTGTGTAAGTCAGTTTTTGTGTAGTTAGAATCACACTGATTTACTTTGAATGTGAGGGGATTTAAGTGGCAATTGAAAAGTAGTTATTTCAACATATTAAGGAAAGCTCGAGTAGGAGATGTTCTTTGAAGGTTGAATGCATCCCTCCCATGTGCCTGCCCTCCCCCCCGCCCCCCGTATGCATGTGTGCATTCGTACATACACACACACACATTCACACAGCTGCCAGTTTATGGTCCTGCTAAATATAATGTTTTTCTTTGCACAGAAAGAAAACTTAATTTAGGATTTGATAAAGAGCTTCACTGGGGGGCCGGAGCGATAGCACAGCAGGTAGGGCATTTGCCTTGCATGCAGCTGACCTGGGTTCGATCCCCAGCATCCCATATGGTCCCCCAAGCATCACCAGGAGTAATTCCTGAGTGCAAAGCCAGGAGTAACTCCTGAGCATTTCTGGGTGTGACCCAAAAAGCAAAAACAAAACAAAACAAAACAAAAAAATGAGCTTCACTGGACACAAGGATTCACTGGACATGTGAATCAATCAGGCTTAGGCAATTTACTGAAAGTTGAAGAGGGGAAGTGTAGTATTGATTTGGAGACAGATAACTGTTGCATCGCTGTTAACTATGTTTCACTTCTTCACAGTGATGTTCATCCACGCGTCACTGAGACTTCGGAACCTCAAGAACAAAGTGGAGAATAAAATGGAGGAAATTGGTTTGAAGAGAACACCAATGGGAATTATCCTTGATGCCCTAGAACAGCAGGAAGACACCGTTAACAAAATCACTGACTATATCAGTAAAGTGAAGGAATAAATACAACTGGCCTGGCAGTAGGATGGCAGCAGAAATCAAGTTGCAGTTAACCCTTGTCCAGGCATACTTTCTATTTGTGTTTTTGAAATAGGAGGTGCACGTCCTAGCTAACTACCTACAACGGCATGCATGTACAGGTTAAACTCTTAACATCTCGGATGTTGTAGAGGGAAAGCCTCCGATTTGAAACCCCTGTCTATTGTGTCTGAAATTTTAAGTGTACTAATGAAAATGGATAGAAAAGAGATCAGATGTTTCTCTGGGGGCGGGGAAGAGAATGAAATAATTATGGAATGTACAGCAGCAAAATTGTTATCTTGAAGGAAAAAAATAATCGTAAATGGTCAAGGCAATATGGGTGAACAACAACAAAAAATCCAACTTAAAGTAGATAAAGCCATGCAGTAGCCTGTTGTAATCCCTCCAGCATCCTCCTGAAAAATAAAATAGGATATGATATATTGGGTGTAAATTAGCTTAGATTATATTGTTTTTCTTTTAAAATCAGATTATCTTTCTCACTCTGCCCACCTGTTTGATATGCAGTGGAAACTGGATAAACTAGTTGTTTATATTTTGTTTACGAAAATAAAGATAGTTGCTTAGGAGAATATTTTGTCAAATTTTTGTAAATTTTTGAAATGCTAGGAATGTGTTTTCACTAGTAGATATTTGTTGCAAACTAAATGTTATCTTCTTGAAGGAGGCTCCAACTACGGAACCTGTATTACTCTTGAGAGTCTTGTTAAAAAAGCAAATAAAATGAAACAAGTTCTGCTTAAATTGCACATTTTTTGTTGTTATTATGACAAAAGGTGTCTAAAAGAATGTTTTCTATATTTTTTCATTGTTTAGTGTTTAACTGGAACATTTAGAAATAAGGGGATGAATGAACATTTTATTAGGTGCTCAGATGCATATAAAGGACAAGTATTGCTGATCTCTTAAAGTCCAGAAAGCATCTTTAGATAACAAAGAAAAAAAAGCACAACCTTTTAAAATGTGAATGAAATGGGAATGATGCCCAGCTTTTGCAGCTCATAAAAATTTTATGATGACCATAAACATTGTAGATAGCAATTGCTACAACCATGTTTCTGCAAATAGACACTAGAATTAAGATAGCATGAGTTTGTATATTCTGTTGCTGTCTTCCTTTTATTTCCCACATATTTAGAAATAGATCTTTCGCTTGCCTGTTGAGTGATTTCATAAATGAATAGAAAACAATTAGGTTTGCTTCACATTTCAGTCATGAAGACCACTGGAGCAGTATTTACTTACGACTCCCTTGTATGTGTTAGAGTAAGAAGCAACGGTATGTTCACTGCTCCTGACTTTTTCTGCGTTTTATGTTCTTGACCAGTCTGCACAGATTTCATTTATAGCACAATGGTGTCACTATGCTTTCAAAGACATAGGTCTAGAATTTGTACCCTTGCCCAATCGTAAAAAATAAAATTATCAATGATGTTTTGTGAGATTTTATTTCATGAACATTTCTGTTGAGTTATATAAAGAAACTTGGTAGACAACCCTGAAACAGTGAGGCTAGATCATATAGCAAGCACTCAGCTGGTGTTTCAAATACTGCGATGAAGGGCTGGAGTGGTAGTGCAGCATGTAGAGCATTTGCCTTGCACATGGCCGTCCCAGGTTCAATTCCTGGCATCCCATATGGTCCCCCGAATGACCCCTGAACACTGCTGGAAGTGGCCCTCCAAAAAAAAAAAAAACCAAAAGACAGTCAAATACTGGTGAATAAGACTTTAATATCTTATTAATCTTCATCCAGAATTAAATTGAACAATGAGATCGTTTCAAAATGGACATGGGTTTCCATACATTTTCTTTTCTCTCTCCAACACACAGTCTTTGGGTCACACCTGAAGGTGTTCAGGCCACACTCTGGCTCTACACTCAAGGATCACTCCTGGCGGTGCCCCGGGAACCATGTGAGATGCCAGGAATTGAACCCTGGTTGGCTGCGAGCAAGCAGCCCGTGGGCTGTACTACCACTCCAGCCCGCACCTTCCACTTGCTACCAGATGAATTCTGTAGACTGTAGTAAATTTGGAGAAAATGACAATTTTAAGAATTTTAAGAAACTCAAGTACTCCAATTACAGTGATCATCTTTGGAAGGATAGTAGGAAACTATAGCATAAGAACTCCATACATTGTTCAACAAAAAGATTGTTTTCTTGGTGTGGAAATGGGTGAGTTGAAAAGCATAATGTGAATTTCTGATTGCTTTGGCTGTCTCGACAGAAAACTACAGTTTTCCTTGGTATATGGAAGTGGAACATCCCTATTTGGCATAATTTGATTAGGGTATTTTTTTCCTAGGAACACTGAAATTTTTTTCTGTAAAAATGAGTGACAATAGCATTCCTGCATCTCACCAAAGAGAAAAAGTTTACCTCCAGATAGTGGGCTGGAGCACAGCAGGTAGGGCGTTTGCCTTGCACGCGGCCAATATGGCCGACCCGAGTTCGATTCCTCTGCCCCCTCGGAGAGCCCGGCAAGCTACTGAGAGTATCTCGCCGGCAAGGCAAAGCATGGCAAGCTACACAAGCTCCCCGTGACGTATTCAATATGCCAAACACAGTAACAATTGTCACAGTGGAGACATTACTGGGCCCGCTGGAGCAAATCGATGAACAACTGGAGGACAGTGACAGTGACCTTCAGATAGTGGAAACCTGTAATAAGCCAGTAAACTGAATTTGGACAATCTGCCCTTTTTTGTGTGGCTAAGGTTAAAGTACTCATTCTAGAGGGGCCAGGTACAGCGTGCAGTGCTAAAGGATTATTCCTGGACCTGTGCTCACTAGTGACCCCTGCCGGTATTGCGGATGGACCCAGGTTTGGCCACACACCATCTCTCAAGCCTCCAAGAAGTTGTTTAATATTACTAAAACAGTGTCTATTGCCCATATTCTGCTTCTTGCCAGTTTTTATTTCCTATAAATATTGTTGGTAGGGCTGGAGAGATAGGAAATTGGGTAGGGTATTTGCCTTGCATGTGTCCAACATGGATTTAATTCCTGGTATCTCGAGCCCCACCAGGAGTGATTCCTGAGTGCAGAGCCAGGAGTAGGCCCAGAGCCCTGCTCAGGTGTGGCTCTCTCTTCCAAAAGTTTTAGTTAATGAAGCTCCTTCTTTGTTCCTAGCTTTCAGGACTGTGCTCAGGGCTTAGTCTGGGCTTTGTGCTCAGGGATCACTCCCGGCAGGGCAAACATGGGTGGGCTGCATGCAAAACAAGCACCCTACCTACTGCTACTCTCTCCGGCCTGAAGCCCATCCTTAATTTTCCTGCATTGTGTGCAAGAATGTCTTCTAGAAATAGAAGAGGCTAAAACAAAACTCTTAGCTGTTGGCTATTCTAAAACTAGTTACTAGTTTGGAAAGTGTATCTGCTAAACATGGACACCTCTGTACATGCTGCATTGCTACTTTTTTAAAAAACAGAAATGTCATGTTTATTCCCAAGGTTTTTTCTTCAAATATATGTATAATTTATCTTTATGATGTCATTCTCAGGCTAGTCTCCCTGCTAATGATGGCCTATGGTTATATAAAAGGAGAAAGAAAGACAGATGCTGATCACTCCCTCAGGTACAGAAGAGATAAAGGACCAAAGCGTGACCTCCTAATCTCTAGAGATTTATTCCCTACCATAAAAGCTTCCAGTTTTCTGCATCCGCTGACTAGAAGAGATACTAAAAGGTTAGAGGCGCTTGGAAGGAGGAAAGAACTTTGGGGTCTGCAAGGTGTTTTGTGGAGGGTTAGATCCTGACCTAACTCTGACCTAAAAGTTAAGGTAGGATTTCCGTAAATGGATAACTGGAGGAGAGGTTTTTGGGGGGAATAGGAAGATTACTGAGAGCAAAGGCACAGGATATGCATGAGGCTTTTGATGAGGAGAATAAATGATCATGGCAAATAAGAGTGACTTAGTAAATTGGTGCTACTCGGTGAGTGACAGGATGTGGGCTCAAATTGACCCTCATAGCAAAGTTCCCTTCGATTTTCAATTTTTGAGGAGAGCATTTAGATAAAATTAAATTCACTGACTAATCTTAACAGAGACAAAACAGAAAAATCAATAGTATCTCTCTATTTTAACTTTCTGAAAAATTTGTCTACTCTGTGTGTGTGTGTGTGTGTGTGTGTGTGTGTGTGTGTGTGCGTGTGTGTGTGTGCGCGTGCACACAGGGTTTTTTCTGTATTTGCTTTTCTGGATTCTGCTCTTCAAAGTACCCCGACTTTAAGTTTACCCTCAAGTAACATGGAAATGACCAAGAAAGAGAATCAGAGATGGAAATATAATTTCAGGTTGTTCTCCAGAAAAGAGATAATTCACAATTCTTCCATTTCAAAGCATCAAGAGGGAGTTTTGCAAAACTTCACATTTCTGTGAAGAGAAACATGATTTGTTCACTCTGTGATGAATTATAGCAGAGAGATGGAAGGATATACATATATATGCTTATGTATATATATTCTATAGTTTATTGTTATTAATTAGAAGAAAGCAAGGGCAAATCCAATGTTTAGGAAAAACTTGTTTTAGAGTTTGCAGCTAGAAGCATGACTCTTACTTTTACCTAAGTCACTTAAACTGATCAGAAGTAAAAAATGTTTCCGCCTTCCTCTTCAGACTATTTTGTCAGAGACCAAGCATTTTGCCTTTTATAAAACGCCCACATCGGATGCTAGCATTGCTCCCCATTATACCCCCTGGATCCAGAAATATGCCATTGAAATAGCCTTCAAGAGCTAAGTCAAGAGCCAGTATTTTAATTTCTTCTTCTAGTCTATTGTGTTGCTTCTTATTCCAGTTCTTTTGGCAGTTGGACCTGTGAATCATAGGAAGAAAAGAGAAAAATTAATCCTGAAAAGTCAAGAGTTTTACAGCAAACATTACAAAATTTCCCTGTCTCAAAAGAAGTAGAATTGGTTAGAAATCCCAGCTGCACACTCCCTTCCCCCAAATCATGATTAAATAACACCAAAAATCAAAGCCAATATTCACTGGGCATTTTTGTAATGCCAAGGATTGATCCAAGGCTTTGAGCACATAGTAAAGCATTACTAGAGGCATAGGACAAGTGTTAGTGTTTGGATGCTGATTCTGGTACTAGTACTTACTAGCTATGTGGTGTTGGGCATTAATGCTTCTATCTGTCAAATGACAAGAAGATCTAATTCCAAGGCCATTATAAGGAGTAAATAATATATAAAGGTTGATAACCATTGTTAACTTCTATTTTCAATTTTTTTTCATTTTATTCAATAACATCTATTTAAAGAGGGAACAGGCACAGAAAGGATAAATAATTTGCCCAAGATTACAAGTTAGGAAGTGGTAGAGCAGACTTTTATTCCAAATCTGCCTAGTTTCAATAGCCATGTCTTAACCAAATAAAAAATAAGAATAGAAAACTATCAAAAAGTAGGAAATGTATTTTCTTATTAAAAGTTGGTCTTTCCTCTATGAAACACATCCTAATGGGACTCATTAAAATATGATTTGGAGCATCTCCAAGATACAAGAATGACAAGAGGGACTTAAATCTAACTGCAAATCACCTTTAGAGCTTTGTTTCATAGGGACAACTTAAAGATAACGCAAGTTAGTAAAATGTTTCAAAGGGTGTTATATCTTGGGATGCTGACTCATTCATCATGCACATAGCTCCCAGGAGTAAGAATAAGTCCAGAGGACATTCCAAGTTTGTACAATAATGACTAAGAATGTTTCTCCCATTGTCTGTCCCATGTAAAAAGAACATGCCACTTGCCAATGTAATAACATTTTGGCTCTACACTAAGGTCCTCTTGCAACCATTCTTTGCTTACCACTGGGGAGTGGGTGGGTCGGGGGAGCTTCTGGGCTACTCCCATGCAGTACTTGGAATCAAAACCAGTACTTCATGAACGCAAGGCAACTAGTGTACCACGGAGCCACATCTCTGACCCAGGTTCAACCCCCTACACTATAAATGGTCCAGTGCACACTGTTGGGTGTAAGCCCCCTGCCAAAGTGTTTGTGGTACGTACATGCATATATATATGTGTGTGTAAATCACAAAATATTCACATTCATGAATACTCAAAGGTACCAGGGTTGTGAGATTGGCTGGATGGGAAGATCTGTTTGGCATAGGTATTTAATTAAACACATCTGCTTAGAGTTTCTGCTGTGACCAACACCTGAGTGAGATGAGCAGAACCTGTCCTGAGGCACTTGGATCTCCTAGTATTACTACATAATAGTTACATCGTACTCTACATGAAGTACAACGAAGGAGCTGTGAGAGAGGCTTAATGAGGAAAACACAAGAGGGAGAGAATTCACTACTGCCTTTTGTTTTGATTTCGTTCCTTCTGCTTAGGACAGGCCTAGTGGGTAGATTTTGATGGATAGAATTAGAATGAATGAACAGGAAATTTGAGGGATCAGAGGATAGTACTGTGGGTAGGGCCCTTGCCTTGCATGCAGCCAACAGGGATTCCATCCACAGCATCCCATATAGTCCCCTGAGTACCGCCAGGAGTAATTCCTAAGTGCAGAACCAGGAGTAACCCCTGGGCGTTGTCAGGTGTGGCCCCAAAACTAAATAAGTTAATAAAGGAAATCTGAGCAAAGGAGGGATATGGCGTCAGAAGCGTTCAGGGGAAATGAAAGGGTTTGCTGTGCTGACACAGAGCCAAAGTGTGGGTTTCAAATAAACAGCATGAACATCAACAAGGAATTTGTCATCAATGCAAATTCTCACGGCTCATTCAATAGCAACTAAATTTTGATTAATACTGAAGCTTAACTATCACCATCACGGGACTTAGAAAAGTTATACATAAAAATCTCCTTATTTGGGGTCAGTGGGCAAGGCAATAGCCTTACATGCTTCAATGTGTGTTTGATTTCCAGCACCTCATGTGGTCCCGAGTCCCACCCAGAGTGCTATCTGACCACACATATATAGGAGTAAGTCCTGAGCACAGCTGGAAGTGTCCCTAAAACGAAAACTAAATGAAAAACAAATTTTCCTTATTTCAGGCCAAGTGATAACTCAATGTGATGAGTGAAACAGGAGGTTCAAGTTCAAGTTCAATATCAGAGTAGCTATTCCCTGCATCCAGCATTTCTGGGTGTGGCTGAAACACACACACACACACACACACACACACACACACACACACACACACACCGTACACATGCACCCCTACCATATTTCTTTCCTTACTAGGTAGAGGCAATTTTAAGCCTATATACTATATGCTTATCATATACTTTTTTTTTTTGCTTTTTTTGGGTCACACCCAGTGATGCATAGGGGTTACTCCTGGCTCTTCACTCAGGAATTCCCTCCTGGCGGTGCTCGGGAGACCATATGGGATGCTGGGAATTGAACCCAGGTCGGCCGCGTGCAAGACAAACGCCCTACCTGCTGCGCTATCCCTCCAGCTCCTATCATATACTCTTTTAAGATAAGTTTAAAATGTTCCTATGTTTGTCATGGATGCAACTCAGTTGAGCAGCTACATCTTCCTGCATGTAATGAGGCCCTGAGTTTGATCCTCCTGACCCCAGCCAATCCTCCCCCGTCCCTGCCAAAAAAAAAAAAAAAATCAGTCTCATTGCTTTCTCCCATAAAGAATCCCTTTCAGCATGAAAATGCAAGTTCAAGTTTCTAGGCTATGACATAGGTTGTATAGATTTGGTTTGGGCTCTTGTAGATTTTCCTAGTTTCTCTTTTGGAGGTAAGAAAAACGGGCAGGAAAAAAGAAGAAATTAAAGATAACTCTGGGAACTTAGAACTAAATGTATAAGAGAATGGACATAGCAGGAAGAACTGGGAACCAGAAATTAAAACTAGATCCAAAAAAGAAGAAATTGGTTTACGGCCACATTAAATGAAGCTGTTAAGAAAGCCCTGAGTTGGGCTGGAGAGATAGTACAACAGGTAAGGCATTTGCCTTGCACGCAGCCGACCGGGTTTGATTCCCGGCATCCCATATGGTCCTCTGAGCACTGCCAGGAGTAATTCCTGAGTGCAAACGCCAGGAGTAACCCATGTGCATTGCCGGGTGTGACCCCCCCCCCCCCAAAAACAAAAGCCCTGAGTAATCTCAAAAGAAAAGGAGATATGGGTATTGCCTACATTATAAAATAATAGAAATAGAGGAAAACAAAGTAGGAAAGTGAAATGAGAATTTTGAAAGTCTAAAATCTAGAGAAACTAGTTTAAGAATAAAGCTCTTAAAAAGAACCCTCCTCTGAATGGCCAGAGAAAGAAGATTTGTTACATACAATCTTAGGTTTTATAATTATAGAAACTGTCTTTATACCTGGGGCTAAGGAATTAAACGTAGGGCCTCACACATGCAATGCTTTATCTTAGAACCATGTCCTCAATCCCATATTCTATATTTGTAAAAACTGCTAAATGTCATAATATTTTTTTTGCTAAGTTTGCTCATGATATTATTACACTGAAGACTTTCCAAAGGAGAAATTTAGCAATATCTTTAGAAGACTGACTAAAAAGAGTTCAGTGATACATGGTGAGCACAAAATGAAAGTGAATATAAGTACTTTGTGGGGCTGGAGTGACAGTATAGTGGGCAAGGTACTTGTCTTGCACATGGCCAAGCTAGGTTTGATCCCCAGCACCCCATATAGGCCCTCAGGCCCTGCCAAGAGTAGTCCTTGAGCCGGACATGAGTCCTGAGCACTGGCAAGTGTGGCCTTCCGATAAATCAAATATTAAAAATAGGTAGCTTGTATGATTTTGTGTAAGGAATTTGTGTAAGATATAAATACAGATGGCCTCAATGAATCAAAAAGTTGCTAGAGTTATTTATATATGTAGCACTGTAGCACTGTCTTCCCATTGTTTATCGATTTGCTTGAGCGAGCACCAGTAATGTCTCCATTGTGAGTCTTGTTGTTACTGTTTTTGGCATATGGAATAAGCCAGGTGGAGCTTGCCAGGCTCTGCCGTGCGGGTGGGATACTCTTGGTAGCTTGATGGGCTCTCCAAAAAGGATGGAAGAATTGAACCCAGGTAGGCCACGTGCAAGACAAGCGTTCTACCCACTGTGCTCGGCTCTTCACAAGCTACCTGTCTGTCCCAATGGAAAACCAGCAGTACTGTACTACTGCACAAGAAGGGAGACATCCACTACATTGGCAGCTATCGCCCAATCTGCCTATTGTCTGTCATCTACAAGTTGTTCACTCTAGTTATCCTGAATAGGATTGGCAGAACACTAGATGAAGGACAACCATGCGAGCAAGCAGGGTTCCGCAAAGGATTCAGCACCATCGACCATATCCACACGATAACCAAGATCATTGAGGTTTCTCGGGAGTTCAAGATGCTGCTCTGTCTAACATTCATTGATTGAAAGAAGGCCTTTGATTTTTTTGAGACGGAAGAGGTCATCAAAGCCCTAGCCAATCAGGGCATTCAAACTCAATACATCAGGATCCTCTGTGAGCTGTATTGCGGATTCACTACCAGGATCTCACCATTCTACAAAGAAATGATCATTCATGTCAAGAGAGGGGTTCGGCAGGGTGATACCATTTCACTGAAACTCTTCAGTGCCACCCTTGAGAATGTCATGCGACAACTGGAATGGGAAGGAATGGGAGTAGAGATAGATGGTCAGCAACTACACCACCTCCACTTTGCTGATGACATCGTTCTAATAACACCAAACATCAGCCAAGCGGCACAAATGCTGGCCGACTTCGACCGTGAGTGTGGAAAGGTCGGAGTGCAGCTGAATCTCACAAAGACAATGTTTATGAGAAACAGTCTCGTTCCTGACGCTCCATTCACTC